GCATAACTCGGGAACCAATAGAGCTACAGCGCCGCGGAAAAGCGCATTCGATAGCCCTATTAACGCCCTTTCTGAGTAATCCTCTCAGATTTGACCTAACGTCAACGGTTTTGCCTGCAGGGGGCAAAAACTGCAAAAATAGCCGTTTTTTCGGAAACAGTTTTTCTTCAATAACTTTTGACCCAAGCCCTGTACGAGCTTACTTTTACAGGCATCGTGTTCCTCTCGTCAAGACGCATCGAATGAACTATAACTTCACCTTGAAAGGTCAACTTGAAAATTTGACCTCAGGTCAAGGTCATGACCTGACCGGAAAGGGTCATGTTGCATATCAGTCGATCCGTATCGTCGAGCTGAACACATCTAAGGCGTTTTCATCGCTCTAGCATGCCTCTATCAAAAGTTATTTGCGAAAAACTGTTAGATACCATTCGTGACCTAAGATGACCTCAGGGCATAAACAAGGGTCACGGAGACCATTTTCATGTTCAGTGTGTCTAAACCACTTGTAATTCGGTGTTTGGGAGTGTTTATAATGTCTTTCATCCAAAAGAGGCGCATTTCGATTTTCTCCCATTGACTTATAATGGGGAGGTCGCAAAATTGACCTGACCTTAGGTCATCGATATCAAAATTCTGAGATATACATTTTGTACATGCTATTGCTCTTAGCAATCGCTGAAAGTTTCAAAGCGATCGGTCACTCGGTGTAGCTATGACAGACATTGAAACTTTTTATGAGGTGAGGTCACTTCAAGTGACCTGGTGACCTGACCTTGAATGACCTTGGTCTGAAATTTTCACAACATGTGTAGAATTGATGTATGATAAGGTGTACCAAAAACGGCGGCGCTCCGCGCCGCCGTTTTTGAGATATTCGCGAAAAACCACAAGGGGGGGTGTTCAAACACCCCCCCCCAGCAGGGCGCGGGTTAACGTCTTTAATTTTCATTCCACTGCAGGCAGAAAAATGGTCTATTATATTTTCCTTTTCTGACGTATCAGCTGCACTTAAAGCTGCAGCTCTCCGCTCGTAATTCCAAACAAAGCACCGCGTACATTTTTTCCTTTTTATTATTCTTATGGAAAAACGCTGGAGTTATTCTTAGCTTCTATATACATATAACCATAAACCACGATACTGGATTACCGCGACTTTAAATATCACGTTCTCCGTAGCCCATCTGTTCAGTCCTAGGTTCTCTGAAAATTCCCGAGCACGTCAGAATCTTCTCCCCCTCTTTCTGCCATGGCTGAGAACGTCTTCGTTTAGACGGGGGAGCGTCTTTATATAGACGAGCGTAACGTCTTCATTTAGTCGGGCGAAACGTCTTTATTTAGCAGGACGTAACGTCTTCATTTAGACGCGGTATGTGGGCGCTGCACCGCGTTCGCTACGGCGCCCGCGGCGGCGGCTGCGGCACTGCGGCAGCGGCTCACAGCATGAAGGTAAATGCCAAGCTGAGCGGCGGCTTCGCGGGCGGGGGCGGTTTTGCGGGCGGCGGCGTCCCGCCGTCCAGTCGTCCACACGGCCCCTGCGCACCCTTGGCCACCACAACTTCTGAACACCCGGCCGGCCGCCGCAAACTCTAGCCTGCCGGCTGTCCACCGCAGGCCGCGGGCTGTCGGCTGCGAGCCGCCGCTCTAATTGGTAGGGCCGAGCGCCGGTAATTTGTAAACATTTGTCATCCGACCACAAACTGGTGTTGGGAGGAGTCCGCCTGGAGGTGGACGAGAGGACGATGAGGGGTCGGGGGGAGACGGGGCGTGCAGAAGACGAGATGAGGAAGGTACCGCTAAAAATGAGAGGTGAAATGAATACGATAAGGTTAACATACTGTTTATTGTTTGCTAGCTAATTGATGTTTTGATTGTTCTATGCCTATTGCCTAATTTACACAGGTCAAAAATCTTTCACATATGACGTCTATAGAAGCTGATTTCATGGTGAAGTGAAAATTGTTTTACAATTGCCAATACATATTTCGAGCCTCGCAGCATACGGTAGTCATTCAATTTCTGCGTCATGACCACAAATACAGGTGAGTCACCGACAGCCTCTTATGGCAGCCCCGACTACATCATTTGGCAGCCTTCAGCCGGCGACCACTCGTGGTAGCCGGTCTCCGAAACGACCCCATAACCATTCTGCAACAGCCCCCCGCCACCTGGCTTCCCCGGCACAAATACCAATGAAGACGCGTAAAAGTCAGCCGGTGAGATTTATCATTGGAAACTAATTGAATTAATGTTTTAATTTGGTGCGGCTCCGCGCGGACGTCGAAGCACCTCATGCCCTAACCTCGTCCGTCGCCTCAGGGCGAACGAAGCGACTGCCATGGCCGCTGCAGACATGAAAGAGCGGCCCGCGGCAGTAGTCGCCGGTTTTACTGCGGACAAATTAATTCTGATTCAATGAGGCTGTACGGAGTGACGTGAGATGGTCTGGAATGAAGATGTCTGTGAGGAGGGAATGGGAGGGTCTGTGGCTGGATGCCGCAATATGAGTGACGTAAGACGTTGGAAAGGTATTACGGAAGTTTGTTTCTAAAAGCAGCCTTGCAATTCTTAGGAGTAAATTTAGTTTTATATCCAACCTTGGTTTGATATCGTTATCTATTTTAGCCGCCCACTAAACCTACCTGTCATAGACACAGATGCTAAAATGGCCGCTCCCGCTGCCCCCACTGTCCCCTCCACCCCCTCCTTCACCCTCCCCTTCGTCACGACAGACATTGATCCGCGGAAGTAGCCAGCTCTTTGGCACGGGCCGGGAACACGGAAGGTGGGGTGAGTCGGGGCTCCCCACCCCAAACACACCCACACTCACAGACACACATTCACACCAGCAGGCGTACGCCATTCAGGACAGACATTTTACGCATTGCAGTGACGTCCTCTAGTCGATGACTGATGAGGTTTTGACTACCCAGATAGTTTTTGTTTTAGGCAAGTGTTTTAGTGGTGTTGGGAAGGTCTTGGTCGTGTGGTCCTTACAAGGTGTGAAGGGTCCTCACTGCGTGTTGAGGATCCTTGTTTTGTGGGAACGACTTCTACTTGGAAAGCGCATATAAAGGGTCCTGGCTGTGAGAAACGTCTGTCTTAGATCAGTCCTGACTGCGAGGGTCGAGGTCACTTAGGGATGGGATCCTTGACTAAGAAGGGACTGAAGAGTGAGAATAGTGGGGAAGGGTGCCGAGCCGGGTAGCCGGGGCTTCGTTCCGGCGCGTTGCTTCGGGCCGCTGGCTGGTCGTTACCATACCAACCACGTTTCCATCGAAACTTCCCATTCAACGCCGACGTGATTGACACGTACTTACTCATTCATTGAACGGCGTATTATGATGGGCTCTTTTGGGTGAAGTAAATTAAAGTCCCGGCGAATTAATAACGGGAGATAATGGAAATTAAAATTAGACGTCTGAATTAGTTACCTGATAGGCCAAAACAATCATTATGCAGGGAGATGGAGTGGTTTCAGGGGAGCATCATCAGGGGCGCGGGAACTATTTTCCGACTGGGGGGGGGGGGCACACCATAATAGAGATCAACTAGGGTACCCCCAAATCTAGTTTTCTCACCGGTTTTAGGCCACTTGTTTTTCATCCCTCGGCTTTTTCAACAAAAAAAAAACATTTGCAAAAAAAGTGTGGTATTCCGTCTCAAAGCTGTGGGGGCACCGCCCCCACGGCCCCAGAGTTTAAGGGGGCCAGCTGCCCCCACTGCCCCCCCCCGGCTCCCGCGCCTATGAGCATCGTTCTTGAAGTTTCTGAAAGAACACGACGATAAAATTAACACCGCCCGGATTCTCCTAGATTAGCGGACGCCGCCAGAAGGACGCCAAACCGAAATATCACCCTAGTCAGTGCCTCTAATTCTACGTTAGGCAGCACCGCTGGTTCCATGTTAGGCAGCGCGGCTGGTCGTAAAGCAAGCAGCTGAAGATGTCCTAAGTTTGCATCGATACATGGTAACAGTGACTGGCGTTCTACACTCGGAAGTCAGACCGATTTTCTTCATTCGTGTTTTATGTGTGTGCGATACGGCGTCTTTCTTCGACCGTTTACCGGGAGTACCTTATCCGATACAAGTAACGCATGTTTTTCTTTGGTGTTTGCTGCATTGTCCCGTCCGACACTTTCCCATTCTATAGTCGACAAAAGTATCTCGGCCTGACGCTCTACCAATGTGAAATCACTATGTTCGCCTCTACGATTGTGCTCCGATTCGAATCCTATGCTGTCTCTCGTCAGATGTTACCACAAGATCTCAAACCACGTCCCCTTGTCCTCGTTCACGTTCATGTCGTACCGTCAGGTCCTCCCTCCAGATCCCAACGTCTTGCACGGTGCGACTACGTCCGCCACCAGCCGCCAAGTCCCACTTTTGATGTCCAGTCACCCAGGACAATCGCGAAGCGAGCTAAGAGCTTACATGGCGTCCGATGGCCAAACTACTCAGGCGTATGACCAAAGACCACGATTCTTCTTCGTCTGTGTACCTATATTTCGACCGACACGCGAACATAGCGCCGTAGAGCACATCAGCCCACCGAGCACAATCTACAACAACACTACTGACCACTCTATCGCGAACCAGACGTGTTAAATACCCTCCACATATCAATAGTATACTGGGCCCTTGTTGGGACTACCGTGTTAAATAAGGTAAAGCTATGTGCGCCACGAAACGCCGTTCATGGGTTAACTATCACTTCTCGACACTCTCACACAGATTTTCACACAGTTATTCGTGCAACATTGGAACACGTTGAGGACGTAGCACACACATATACGGACGTGAGGTGAAGTGATATGTTGGAAATCAACCAGCTGAAGGACAGTGTTAGGAACACGGCATAGACCAACGTTCATGGACATGTTTGTAACAAAAATATACTCTACAGCGGAGCTCAGAAACGGTGGCTTACGAGCCATGTATAAGGAACTGACTTGGTGCCTTGCTGGCAGGTTTACACATGTCACATACTGACGGCACGGACTTGTTAACCACTCACTTAAACAAAGCAGATAGGACTCGCGACAGTTACATTGGCATCTCTCAAGAAAGCAACAACACAACAACAACGAATGGACACCTGCTTAGCTTTCGTTCATGGGCATCTCATTGCTGGCACTCAGGCTTCTTACTCTCAGCAGTCCTGGAGGGATCCCCACTCCGGAAGCAGGCGCTGTGGCATGTTTACCAGCTGGTTCTTGAAGAACTTCAGCTGGGGCGGAGGCCTTTGGGTTCGTTTCAACCTGAGGCTCAGACTGGGTCAGCATTAGCTGAGGTGCGCGTTCTTCTTGTTGACCACACTGGATCAGCGTTGCCTGGGGCATGCTGTCTGACTGTGGCCCGCAGTCTGGCTTCGGCATGCAGTCTGGCTGAGCCGAGCAGTCTTGCTGAGGACCTGTTGGAGGTCCGCTCACCGGCCTTTGGCGAGGTTCCGGTCGGCTCTCGCCTAGCAGACTTTCGATGCTGAACAGCGACAACGACGCCTTCTTGGTCGTGTTACCAACATTACTAACCGGTGGCTGGCTATCGTCTGATGGCGGTTCGACGGGTTCTCCGGTGGAAACCACGTCAATCTCTGGCTCATCGCGCCTCTGACGGCCTTCCCACTCGGCGCGAAGTGTGGCGAGTTCAACGTGGATGCCCTTCTGGGCCAGTTTACGCTGCTGACGCTCCAGCTGCTTCACCAGCTTACGCTCCCTCTTGTCGGCCTCCTTTCGCTCCAGCTCCTCCTGCGAATATGAGAACGCTGAGAGTTAGTATCGAAACTCTCTCAAACAAACTCACCTACCGAATGGCTCATCTTCTTGTCGGAGTAAACTATCGTTGAAGTCAGCATCAATGTCCACTGATATAAAATAAAGAGAGCGAAATGGAGACAAAGCATTTGCATCCCCGTACAACGATCGTTGACACGTAATCCTCTGCCCCAATATTTCTCACTCCATTCCCTATCGAACACGCTAGCGGTTGGGGTCGTTCTTTATCCTCACCGGTGATATGGGGTCACCACTGCAGGTCTGCGGGTGGGCGTTGTGCGCCGGCCTCCCCGGTCCCTTCTTCGTGTGCTCCTTCTTACGCCATTTCGCCCGCCGGTTCTGGAACCAAACCTGCGGAGGAACCCAACAGTCAGACACAAAAACTGGGGCTGTAGTCAGCCGAAAATGGCCGCACCAATTACTGCGATCGTGCGGTGATAGTGGCGCAAAGGAGAGTGAAAACTGCGCCGGGATTGTCGGGAATCTTATCTTTTAATTGTGTTGGCCGGTGGTGTGGTGGTGGTAGGCTAAGACCGCCATTAGATTCGCCATTGCGGCGGTAAGCTGAGATCACCATTAGACGGGGATAATGGCGGCACGCACAGTGGGAAGAGGGTGGAAAGTGGCGATTCTGCGCGAAACACTCATTACAGACCGTTAACTGGGCTCAAGTCCCGCATTGAATTGCTTATAAGAAAGCTGTTACGCATTTTATATGCTTCAAAACATTTTGATAGTAACTAACTATGTACATTTTAGATACGTAAACCCACAGCTGCCTTTTATCTGCCTTGGCTCAGATAAATGCAATTAGGTATTCAATTTCTACAGCCTACGCGCCGACTGCAATCGGCCTTTTTTGTTCCTCTTGAACTCCCGTCGAAGCAAACAAAGTTTTGATATCAAACTAAGCACGAGTACGACAACAAGCACAGAACATCCACTCAAAAGACCTCCATATCAAAAGCAAGCTTAACATTACTTCGCTGCTGGGAGGACGGCAGCAGCGAAACAAGGCAAAGCCGGGGAGAAGCCAGCAGCGAGGAGTAAGACCCGTCGTTAGTCCTCATGTCGCCCCTCCAAGCACACTCACCGCCACTCTGCTCTCGGTGAGACCCAGTCGCATCGCCAGCGCCTCCCTCATGAACACGTCGGGGTAGTGACCGGACTGGAAGGCCCGCTCCAGTTCCTCCAGCTGCCAGCTGTTGAAGTTGGTCCTCGAGCGACGTCGCTTGGCGGCGGCGTCCTCACCGTCTTCAAACTCTGTTGGTGAAAGGAGGAGAAGATCGCAAGTTAGGTCAATCTAGAATGGTGGGCAAGCGAGGGAGGTCGACGTAGAGTGCAGTGGTAAACTGAGGAAGGAAGGTCAACAAAGCATGGTGGCTATTGAAAGATCAATGAATGCAGTGTCGTTTAGCCAAGGGGCCAATATAAAAGAATCAGGAGAAGAGGGTGGTAAAAAGCTCCTCTTTTTTAATCTAAAACAGAGTTTTGGGAAGCCGAGAGAGGAGGCATAGAGACAAACATTTCGCGAGTGAGTGTCCAACTTGGTCAAATGCAAGCTGGTAGGCTGGTTGGTCATTATCCAGGTTGAAACGATGAGGATGGTCGCCACATTTGCACGTCGGTACAGCACTGAGCGCAACCACAGCGAATAATTTTGCTGTCGGTCAACATCTCTACTTGCTGCATTCTAGCAATAGACCGAATTTTCGTATCCAGATAAAGGTGTTGTTAGCCAATGTCCACATCTCATATTGAAATACTAAAGTAACGGAGGCTTGGTCCCCCCCCCCCATGTCATCCTGGAGCGTGTTTCAAATACGTGCAACATTTCATATCGCGCCGACGGGCCCCCTCGAACGTCAGCCAGCGTCTCACATGGCTCCGTTCTCGGTCCTCTCAGAAACTCCCCGCGCGCTCGCCACAGCATTTAGCCCACTCCATGCGCGACCGGGGCGTTTACCACGGCGCGTTATCGCGGCAAACACGGCGGAGTAGCGTGTCGGAACGCCGCTCTTGCCGCCTTGTAGCCAATCAATGCGCACTGTCGGGCCGACAAATTGAAACCGATACGATCCCGGCGCATGCAACGTGCCGCCATTGGAGCAACGGCCTAGGGCCGCAGTGAGCCGGCTGGCTAAAATGATTACGGCCGTATTTCATAGCTGGGCGCGCTAATAGCCGCTGTTAGCCGGGTAGCGTCGGTTCGTGGCCGGCGGCGTACTCGGCGCAGCAATGGCCGGCGCGGCCGACGCGGCGCGACCCGCCAATCACGTGCCGTCGTGGCGAACGTGGTGCGCTGGGGTAGACGTGGTGAGTTTGGACGGTGGTAGGTGAAGAGGGTGTGGCAGGACGACTGCGTGCAACGAGAGTGCACGTAAGGACTAAGGACACTTATCCGTAGTTGTTAGCTCTCTCAGCGCTTTGGGGTCTGAAAACGTCAGAAAACTAATGCTGAACTTATCTAGATTGAGAGCTTGGCTAGAGACTGAACTGGAGTAGAGCTAGCTACACTAAGCTAAAGCAGTGTTGTTATGAACTAGAATCGAGTGCGCTGTGCCCACAGACGATTATACATAGAACAGTCTAGTCAGGAAATAGCTAAGTTTCCTCCTAAACTAACCATCCGGTCTATGAAGATTGCTGGGCGAGGCACATGGCCTTGTCCCTCCCTGGTCGTTTGCCGAGCAATGTGCGAGTTCCGGTAATCGTTTAGCAGGCTCAGGCTGTGGGTGCAACACTTGCAGCCAACCTACGAAAACACACGGTTGCCCCCCTCTCTCTCTCTTTCTTTCTCTCCTCTTTCTCTCTCTCTCTCTCTCTCTCTCTCTCTCTCTCTCTCTCTTACTCACTCACTCACTCACTCACTCACTCACTCACTCACTCACTCACTCACTCACTCACTCACTCACTCACTCACTCACTCACTCACTCTCACACTCTCTCTCTCTCTCTCTCTCTCTCTCTCTCTCTCTCTTACTCACTTACTCACTCACTCACTCACTCACTCACTCACTCACTCACTCACTCACTCACTCACTCACTCACTCACTCACTCACTCACTCACTCACTCACTCTCTCTTCCTCCTTTCCTCCTCCCTCTCCTTTTCATGCTCTTTCTAGCATACGTCGCCAAACTGCATGGCACACCTACCGTGACATGAGCACATCATTCTGGGTTCTAGAAGGCCATTTAACCCGCTCCAATACCTACGTTTCCAGTTATTAATTTTGACAAATGGCCATGTGAAGGCTTCAGTGAGCATTACTGCATGGACGGCGAGGCGTTTTATAACACTCATGATGATTACATGCTCATTGATGAGTTTGCGGTAAATATGATTGAATTGACGGACAGTCGAATTGAATTATATTGGACAATGACGGGAGTAAAATAAATTAAATGACGGATGGGCGTGCAAGGATTTCGTCAATGGAAAATATACGTGTTTCTCAGCAGTGTTCCCTGTCGATAGTGCCTTTGGGCCTACATAGAGCAAATTAACTATAACATGACTGATATTGAGACTATTTGAGAGATCTACAAAATCTCAAAGCGAGAGATGTGGTCAAAGCTGAAAGAGAAATGTTAGCTTCCCCAAACTAAAGCGGTGTATCAAAGAAGCCTTTATTTTACCTTTCTATGTGGTGAAAGCTGTAAAGCGGCACGACTTACCAACATGAATGTGAATGCCTACATCGACAGTTATTGCCGCATGACAGGCGGCAAATAAATGCAAAAAAAGCGATGATGTGTCCAAATTGAATTACACAATTCGCGAGTTGAGCGCATGAAGCGAGAAGTTATAATTTCCCTAAGTCTTTACACTTACATGCCTGTTCGATTCCATCGCTTTCCCTGCAATCCAATCCCAAATCATTTTGAACATCTCGGCCGGTCTGACGTTTGAATTAAAATCCAAGTATAAATTTATACATCTGGAGCCAAAATAATTTTGATATAATTATATATTTGATTCGCTAATTTGACAATGTGCATATTAGCCACAGTATGTCGGAACTTGCGGTCAGTATTGTAGCTGGTAGTTTTGACCACACCACTAGTTCACATCCTCACAAACCAATTAAGCCCATCCTTCCATCGCCCTAAATTCCGGAAACCTGCCTCCAAATATGCAGAATGAAGCGTACCTCACACACCGTGCAATTTTGAAGCTTTATAATGTAATATGTCCGCCACATCATCATTACGTTTCCACATAAATGATTGTTCTGTGGAGTGACGAGGGGCGTGGATCAGGCACTGCCAGCACTAGACGCACATACTTCACTGTCCGGCATATCGTAGTCAGACAGGCGTAGTCGTAAATCGCCGGCAATGGACTCTAATAGAGGCGTATGCCCGCCGGCGACAAATTCAGATTGTCCACTTTGGCTGGCTGTTTGGCGCACATTGCTGCGTTAGTGAAGGGCCAATGGATATGCATGTTTCTTTGAAAGGAATTTAAAGCATGAATTGATTCATGCTAGAGTGTAGTTGTCTTTTTTGGTTTACAGCTTTGTCACTGTCGAGTAAAAGTGCTGTATGATCGAGCCTGGCAAGTTTGAGGTCCATTTTAAATACACCAACTGCAAGACAAGACCCAATTTTGACACTTTGACACTTTGAAGACTTTGACACGACACCCCAACCGGGAGTGAACGTGAGTCAAAAGTTGCACCACCAGTAGAGAATCATTCTAGCTGAATATCGGCTAATGAAATTTATAGTGAAAATATCGGGTTGTCATATTGATTTAGATATTATTCGCTGGAAAGGTTTATTTAGGATTTTGGCAATTAAATTTCGGTAATGGATTTGGGTGGGTTGTAATCTATTGTTGCTTGGGTTGGCACGATGCATTTTGCATCATAATAATCGGAGACATCGTTGCTGCTTTGTGGAGTTACTGTCTGTGTAAAAAAGCTTTCCTTTAAACTCGAGCAAGAGCTGCAGGAAGACAGTTTACATGGTATAGCTGATAGCAGACAATTGGACAAATGGACAATTTCTGCCAAGTTTTCAAGTACATATCTGCTGAATTTTATATCATGTGCGGTGAAATAGTTGTAAAAGTCTATATCATTGCATATTTTTCATCTTTATCCGATCACTAACAGCTAGCGGAGGTTATCGGTTGAACAGGTGCCGCCACCACCACCGTCGGTTCGACAATCACCGCTCAGCACCGACCTATAATTCCGCCAGTACCCAGCTAATGGGCGTCACCATTAGCCGCATCCAACGGGCGAGCCAACTGAACGCATCTCAGCGACTTTATAATAGCACCCCGCCTAATTACCTCTTGCCATATTTAGTCACAATTGATAGAAAATTCCTCCCGGAGCCTATATTTACCGCCCATCACATTGGCACGCACCAATTATCCTTCTGCTTCTTCCCGTCTTCGCTGATAACGACTTAATTGGTGGCAAAACGAGGTGCACATTTGTACAGTATATCTAAAAAGTATGTCCCCTGGTTTGGCTCTCCCACAGGAGGCGAATCGGTAACTTGGCTGAATCCCAGTTGCGGCATCCGGCCGCCAGGGTCGCTGCCGCGCGAGCGGCCTTGACCGCTCGCATGTCATTGGCAGTTCGGTCCCTCCCCATCTATACCGAGGTGGGGAGGGGAGAAGAGGGGAAGAGAGGGGAGGGAGCGGCATCCGCTCGGCACTTGGCGATACCTGGCTGACCCCGCGCTCCCTCGCTGACCTTTGTCCTGCCCTCAGGCGAAGACCGACTTCCTGGCCTGTAGCGGCCCAGCGGAAAACCGAGTTCGCGGGGCGCGACTCCATTGGCCCAATCTTATAAATGGAATGCTGTCGTATTCACGGCATTAGATAATATTAATAGTGATACCAGCAGTGGATGTGGTAAAATACAGTCCAAAATAAACGAAAGCACTCGATTCGTGCATAATGCGCCCTCCCATTCAAATAAGCCCGCCCACTTCGATAGATGGTGTAGTTTCTTAGGGCGTAGAAGATGCAAAACACTACCGATTTTTTTTTAGCTCGGCCACTGGGACCGACAATATACAATTGACTGAAATGCATGAAAACCATTTTGCATTTAGGTAATAGCCGTTTTCTGCACCCAAACTTTAGCCAGTGACGCCCTGTCCATTCTAAAGCGTTTATAAGATTGGTCCCAGCACCCGATTTTATATGAGGAAGTCGTTTAAAAAGCATCTTATTTCTAACGAATTTATTATTATGGCCACTTTTACAGGACGTCTATAGAGCTTTGACTTTTA